TTTAATGATTATATATGCAAATAAATTTTTTTGTGACTGCAAATAAATAAAAAAGTTGTTACTTCTCGTTTTATTTATAAATTTTTATTTTTTTTTTCAATGTAAGAGGACTCAATTTTCAAAGTTCGCCTTGAGCCCCTAAATCTTAGGGCTGCCCTGCACACACCTAATCGTACCACTCCCCCCCATGATTCTGTGTGCTCATTGTATGACATTCCTAACCCTTTTGCTAGGCCTTTTAAAATGGAAGTAACTTGGTTTATTGATGATAGCTTTAAAATTGTAGTAAAAAATTCTTAGGTTGATAGCCAGAATTCTATCCCAGAAGCCATCAACCTTATTACTAAAATGCAACCCTTTGGAACAAAAACCTTTTTGGCAACATCTTTCGAAGGAAAAGATGGATTCTCGGCAGAATTGAAAGTATCTAGACAGCTTAATCCCATGTTTACTCTCATAATTTGTTTTTGTTGGAAAATGACCTTATGAAAGAGAATTATACTGTCCTTTAGCAAGAAGAACTCTCGTGGTTTCAAAAATCTAGGGTAAAGTGGATCACCTAAAGTGAGCGTAATACTAGATTCTTCCACATAACCATCATTGATAAAAGAAGGAGAATGAGGGCCAATGCTCTTAAAGATAACCAGGGCCAATGGATCTATGAACCTCGTGCTCTTAAAACTCATGTGAAGAACTATTTTTGTGACCTTTTTAAAAACAAAACCATAAATACCTACACTCTTGACCCATAGCTTTAAATCGCAGTATCGGGTAACGTAACGATATCGATATCGATCGCGGAGTATTGGTATCGGTAGTATCAGCCAGTATGTATTGGGAATCGATGTACCGCGGCCGTGAATTATAAAAATCATTAGCAGTCCCTCTAAAACTCAATTTTATGCATTTTTTTAAAAACTTTTTTAGCCTTAATTTGTCACATTTTAATCAAAGTTTTGATATGTAGGAACACTTTCAACTCATTTTCAAATAAATAGAAGAAAAAAAAAACCCTAAACATTTACACTAGATAAGACCAAAAAAATACGAAACAAAAAATAGAGTATAACGAAACCCACAACTCACCGAAAATAGAGCACAACAACGCAACACAAATTACAATTTGCAACTCAGGGACAACCTTCTTTGAAGAAGCTTGAACTCCACAGCCAAAAGAAGCTTTAGATCTATGGAGCCAAGCCAGAAATAAGTGTGATTGTGAATTGCAAATCTATAAACAAAAGCAAATTTATGGTCCGTGAAAGTTTGAAATTGCTTGAAGAAGACAAAGCACTTGAAGTGAAAGGTTTGAGTGATGTATGTGATGGGTTATTCTTTTCTTTTTTGCAATTACTTTTGCTTTTGCAGGTTCTTTGCGTTGATTCATCCGTACCTGCGACTATGAAACTATATCGGACTATATTGCCCTATGTATCGGATTTAGGCCGCTACATACTGGGACTTAGATGCTACGATTGCGAATTTCATTCTCACCGCTATACCGGTTCATATCCGAATCGGTACTCTGATATTTAGATCTATGTCCTGACCTAAGCCACCTGAACCTTGTTCAACCAAAAAATAGTCTTGAGGTTAATCGTGCTCTTATCAAACCCATTTCGAGTAAGGAGTTGTGGGAAGCTATATATCAAGAGCATCATGGCATTCAAAGCCCCAGGTAGTGATGGCATCCAATCCCTTTTTTACCATGTCCATTTGGATATTGTTAGCCTTTCTGTGTGCAACTCCATTCAAGCCTGCTTTGCTAACAAAAATGTCCCTGAGAGCTTTAATAAAGTGGACAATCCTGAAACCATTAGCCAATTTCGCCCCATTAGTCTTTGTAATGTGCTTTACAAGACCCTTACTAAGGTTTTAGTTAGTAGACTCAGACCTCTGCTGATTAACAGTGTTGGCCCTTTTCAAAGCGGCTTATTCCTGAACGCACCACGTGTGGTATTATTATTGCCCAGGAGGTCATTCACACCCTTAGGGGGGAAAAAGGCAACCAAGGGGGTATGATCTTTAAAAGGCTTATGATAATGTTTCATGGAATTTTCTTTATCATACCCTTAAAGAGCTCAATCTTAATGACCATTAGGTGGAGCTCATTATAAACTATGTGACCAATGTGAAAGCTTCAGTCCTTTGGAATATCTGGGAGGGCTGATGAGAAAACTTGTAAGACCATTATGGAAGTGCTTAATTATTTCAGTACTTTATCTGGACTCAAGAAAAGCTTAGATAAATCTATCTGTGGCATTGCTCTCACCCAAGACCTAGGTAAATATCTGGAAGTGCCACTCCTACACACTAAATGCTCTCATACTCATTTCCAGTTCATTTTGGAGAGAATCCAGAATAGACTATCAGAATGGAAAGCTAATCTTTTATCCTTAGCTAGTAGAACCACTTTGGTTCAATCAGTTACTTCTGCTTTGCCATCCTATGCTATGCAAACCATGGATGTTCCTATGAGCATTTGTAAGGATATTGACAAGCTTAATCAAAACTTTCTATGGGGTGATACAGATAACACCAAAAAAGCTTACCGAGTGAATTAGGACACTGTGTGCAGAAGTAAGAAGATAGGAGGGCTTGACCTGAGAAAAGCCAAAACCCAAAATCTTTTACACTTTTGTCTAGATTGGGATGGAAGACCTTGAGCAACAATATGAGCCTTTGGATTAAAGTCCTAAAGGAGAAATATCTCTACAAGGACAAACTTTTGACTACTCTTCTAAGAGGAAATCCTTCCATATCTGGAGAGGCATTCTCAAAATCAGGAATATATTGAGGAAATACACCAAGTGGAGTGTGGGGGATGGTTCTAACATCTCAATTTGGCATGACTGGTGGTGTGGTGATGAGGTTTGGGCCTCCAAATATCCTAACAACCATTTGATCAATTTGGATACTATGGATAAGTTGATTAATGATGAGGATAACTGGGATGTGTGAGCCATTTGCGCCTGCCTCCCCAGAGATGCCCTTGAGTGTGTCCTCAAAATCAAACTTCGCCTTATTGTCACATTTATTGATAACCCTCATTGGAAGGCTTCCACTAGAGGGGACTTTTTCTACTTCGGCTGCCTACAAAATTGCTAACACTCAAGTGGAGAACACTCTAGATCTGGAATGGATCTGGAAATTGAAAGTTCCTCAAAAACTTTTTTGTGGTTGATAGCCCATCGCAAAATCTTGACCAATGAAATGAGATTGATAGGAGGCCTCACTGATAATGCTTCGTGTCCCAAGTGTGATCTCTACATTGAAGATGTGGATCACCTCTTTAGAGATTGTACTACTTCTATAAGTGTCTGGAATAGCATTCCTGGGAATCTTTGGATTCTAAAGATAGGCAATCGCCCATGATTGTTTGGCTCAAAATAAAATCTGAAACGTCATGCTTTTTGGAGTCTACTTTTTGTTACATCTCTTTGGAAAATTTTGGGATAGAAACAAAAAAATTTCTGAAAATGTTGATCCATCCTTATTTTAAACCTATTTATCTATCCAGAATTAAGCCAGAGAAATTAAGCATGCTTTCACCATTTCCATTACTTCGAATTTCAGCTCCCCATTAATGGTTAAATGGCTTCCTCCTATTGCAGGGAAAATTAAATTCAACACTGATGGTTGTGCAAGAGGAGACCCAGGCGAAGGAGGCTTTGGAGGGGTTTTCAAAGATGAGAAGGGGGTCTGGCTCTGTGGCTTTTATGAGAAGCTGGAAGCATGCAACAATCTAGAAGTTGAAATGTGGAGAATTTACGGCTTGACCATTGTGCTGGAGAAAGGCCATCAAGAAGTCATCATTGAAACAAACTCTGCAGGGAAAATTAAATTCAACACTGATGGTTGTGCAAGAGGAGACCCAGGCGAAGGAGGCTTTGGAGGGGTTTTCAAAGATGAGAAGGGGGTCTGGCTCTGTGGCTTTTATGAGAAGCTGGAAGCATGCAACAATCTAGAAGTTGAAATGTGGAGAATTTACGGCTTGACCATTGTGCTGGAGAAAGGCCATCAAGAAGTCATCATTGAAACAAACTCTCCTTTAGCTGAAGAACTGCACATCAAAGGACCATCTCAAAACTGCTCCTTCCAGAAGTATTGCTGAAGATTCAAGACATCTGTTCCAGAGGTGCAATTGTTTATTGGCCACATCGTGCGCGAATCTATCCAGTGTGCAAACATGCTCGCCAACATGGGAGCAGACGAAGATGAATCCCTGGTGGTGGTGGAGGAGCCACCTGTTGCTGTTAGGTCTCAAGTTGTTGCTGATATGGTGAGGATAGCTTATTGGAGGATCTAGACTCTCAGTTCCCCTGCCTTGTTTGGTTCTGCTGTTTCTTTGTTTCTTCCTTCTTTTTACCAAAATATATATATATATATATATTACTGACATTAAAAAAGGAGTAGTGAAACACCACGAAACACTAGCAAAGTATACATTAACCAGCCAGTCTATGTTTCAACTATCAATCCCATTGTTCTATCTAGTGTAGTGAGTTCAAGATTATATGCATTATAAAAAATCAAACTATCTAAAACCCGTTTCAAATCAACTTGAATAGGTAACACAAAGTCCTTTGTCCAACATCCTGCTTTTACAAAAATACTAATATTACAGTGTAGAAGAGCTCTTGTTCCCATTGGAATGACAGATCACCCACTAGATAGATCCAGCTATAATGCCATTTAAAGCCCTTTAATAATACTTTAAGAATTATATCAACATCTTCCACAAGAGACTAATTCATTCATATATGTAGAAATATAACATGAAAGAAGTTTGTAATTATATACATGTGCCAGTGTCATAACTCCCAAAATGTATCCAGAATCATAAAATAAAAAAATAAATAAAAAAAGAGGAGACAATTGTCACTCACCGCAAGCCTAAACAGCACTACTAAGAAGCCAATGCTAGCAATCTATGATAATAAAATATCGAGCGGTAATCACTTCCATTTTTAGAAATTCATGAACTTTCCCCCATGCTTCCCATGCTTAAACTTTCCATGGTGATGACCGCAGCAACCCCCATGGGTAAGATTATGGGCACCATGTGAGAGCTGGTGGGCCCCATAAGCGGCAGCTGCAGCAGCAGCGCCACCAGCTATCAATGCTCCCATATTAGGCCCATGACCAGTGCAAAGAAATTACAAGCTATCAACAATGGAAAAGTAGCAAGGAAAACAAACAGCACTCTAAATCTGTGTACTTCAAGGTCAAGGATCACCAAGACATTACAGAGATGTAATTTTAACAAGCAGATTATATTGAAAAAGTAGATGTACGAAAAGGCCAAGAAATGACACAAGAAATAGAGTTCAGCAATGAGATATGAAGATTTAACAGTCTTCCAAATTTAGACCTCCTACTTTTCTCATCCTCTTTAGTGCAGAGGTGAAGTGGAATTCTGCAACTTTTTTGGTGCCGAAAATTATCATAAAAACAATTATTTCTGCTTTTAATCAAAACCGTTATTTCATGCTCTGGGTTCAAAAACAATGCATAAACACATGCAAACCAATTGAAAGTTCTAGAAGCAATTAAAATATTATTCAACAATTTCTTGCAAGTTGTAATGACAATTCACCTTTACATGTCAGATGACTCCAAATCCTTTATGGTGTGTTTAGTTGGGGAATTTGATAAGGGATTTGGAAAGGGAAAGGGAAAAGGTGTGTGAAATTATGAGAAATACATACATATTTTATTCACATTTCACCTGCCTTTTCCATTTCTCTTTCCAAATCCCTTCTCAAATCCCCCAACCAAACACAGCATAAAAGAATTTTGGAAAGAAATGAATCAAACATACCTGAAAGAGGGAGAGCTGATGGACCAGGATAAATTGCCGGTGGATATCCACCTGGGGCAGGATATGCTGACAGACCAGGATAACCTGCCGGTGGGTACCCACCTGGGAAAGGATATTGAGCTGGTGGGTATCCACAAGCAGGAGGATATCCAGCTGGCGAGTAGGCCTGAGGGGGATATCCTTGAGGCAAATATCCTTGAGGGGGATATCCTGGAGGAGGATATGCCCCATAAGACGGAGGGTATTGTCCAGTAGCATAGCCAGCAAGATGAGAGAAAAGTCCTCTGTCACTAGATTCATCATCATGGTGATTTCCACCTTCCATTTTTCTTCAACTTGAAATTTATGACCTGACAATGTAAATAGAGAACAGTAGAACATATAAGATTTTTTTCCAAGGGGAAAAAAAAAGTGTGTCAATTGTACCTTAGAATATCATATATCTACTTAATGCAGGAGTTTGGCATGGCGATTTTATATATTTTATTATGTCTTAAATATTTATACTTTTTTTATTTTTAATTATAGTTTTATTTTATTAACAACTGATGAGTTTCCAAATAGTGTTAAGATTTAATTTCCTAAGTTGATTAGGGCTTTACATGGTAACATTGAGCTTTGAGTTGAGAATATTGAGTGGGGTTGTGATTAGAGTTGTGGCCCTTGTGTACTTCCTCTCTTCCTTCTTCTCTATCCTCTTTTCCTGAAAGTGTTCTACATCACTACTACTTCCTCATCTCAACCCATAATGACTTAATGCTTTTGTTCTCCATGAATGCATTTTCCAATATAAAAAAGCACATTTCAACAACTTATTGCTTATCCAGAAAAAATGACATTATCAAATGGAAATATAAGGAAAAGCAAAATAGGTAGAGATTTAGCAAAGAAGACGCATTATAGTTTTGTTTATTCAATGTATTCTTTTCCCTTTAGTATATGAATTGTTTCCTCTTTTAACTTTTGTGGCAGAGTCAGACGTGATCTCGAAACAATCTACATATATAAATGGGAGATCGATATTCTTCTCGGTGAGTAAAATTATCAACCCCTAATGAATTTTCGGTTACAAAATACCCATCAAAGAAGTTTGTCTACGCATGTGTTTCAAGGAAAGGGCAAACTTCACTTTACCCCTGCGGTTTGGGCCACTTGCAGTTTAACCCTTTAATGTTTGGAAATGACCAAATAATCCCCAGGTGGTTTGTGTACTAAAGTGCACCATTGAACACCGTTAAATATTTTGTCCAACTTAACAATAAATGCGAAACAAATGACGAAAATACAAGAGTATTTTAGTCTTTTTTTTAAATCATTAACGGGTCTAACAGTATACTTTAGTCTACAAACCACAAGAGGGTTATGTGATCATTTGTAAACGTTGAGAGGGTAAACCGTACCTAGCCCAAACAGAGTAAAGTGAAGTTTGCCCTTAAGAAAATTCATGGATAGATTACAAATATACTCTTGAGATTTGTTTAAAATACAATTTGCCCCATGTAATTTTAGAAATTACATCTCGCCTCTTGAATTTCTAATTTCACAACAAATTACCTATTTTATTAATAAATCATCAAATCAGTTTTTTAGTAATTTTGGCAGCAGAAATTTTATGTTTTCAATAAATTTTGTTAAATAAAAATTTTTAACAAGAGGTATTTGTCATTTTTCAAACCAAAATGTATTTTAAGCAAAGCTGAAGAATTGTATTTATAAATTACTGAAAATTCATCACATTGATGTTTGAATATATTCTACCAGATCAACCAAAAGCGAATCCAAATTAGACATCAAACATAATTCTAATATATTAAAGTAAAACGTTCACAGAAACAAGTAAAGCAAACTGAAGAACAATTCCTTAAAGACAATTTCCTCTGAAATTTTTTCAAAAAAATCTCTGAAAACAGTCCCATTATCAAGCAAACTTGTTGAAAAGTCTTCAAAAAACTAATGGAAATTGAGATTAACAAACACACTAAAAGAAACCCAAAACACACAAATCCAACATCCAAACCATGATTCAAAGTTCAACAGCCATACAACCCCCAACCCCAAAAGAATTTTGTTTTTTTTTTTTTTTAAATAAACAAATAAATGAACACACAGATGAAAATAGATAAAAGATTGATCAATTTTGAGAAGGACATAATCATATGATGAAATAAACTGCCATTAACAAAAACAAACAAGCAAAGTACGACTAAGAAATCATTCAAGATCCAACATACAAAAACAACAACAAAGAAGATTACTGACTCACTTTTTTTTTTCATTACAACTACTAAAAGACATAATCAGAAGTTAAAATCGAAGAGAGAATACCGAATTGAAATGGGGATTCAAGAAGTTAAAATCGAAGAGAGATTACCGAATTGGATTGGGGATTCAAATCCTAATGAGCTGGTTGGGATTGGAGTTGAAAGTTATTTTAAGAAATCAAAGAGGTCTCTTTCGAATTGACAACTGCTTCAAAAAGAATCTCTGTTTAAAGTCCTCATCATAAACCATATATATATATATATATATATGTACACACACGTATACAAACATACATACACACGGACACGTTACAAGTTTGAAAATTGTGATAAACAGTGTACGCGTTGCTTCGACGCGTTCTTGATATGACATCCTTCTCGGAATGTACACTACAACCCTGGAACCTCCACGACACTACACGTGAGTCATCTGCCCTCGTTTGGCAGGCATCTAACGCTCAAGTGGACCACATTCTAGATCTAGAATGGATTTGGAAATTGAAAGTTCCTCAAAAACTAAGGTTTTTTGTGGCTGATAGCCCATGGCAAAATCTTGACCAATGAAATGAGATTGATAGGAGGCCTCACAGATAATGCCTCATGTCCCAAGTGTGATCTCTACATTGAAGATGTGGATCACCTCTTTAGAGATTGTACTACTTCTATAAGTGTCTGGAATAGCATTGTTGGGAATCTTTGGATTCTAAAGATAGGCAATCACCCATGATTGTTTGGTTATAAAAAAAAAAAAATTATCAAACAAGTTTTTATAACAGTTTTTAAAATTTTTGTAAATATAAATTGAAAATTGAAAACGAAATGGTTACCCAATAGGTCTCAGATGGTAAAAATATCATAAAATTAAAAAATAATTAAATAAGTTACCAACGTAAGAAATGACTCATCAAAAGAATCTTAGGCTATGTATGGATTGATTTTTAGATTTTTTTTAAAAAATTAAAAATTAATTTGGTTAAGAAATAAAAAATAAAAAATGATTATCATTTAAGGGTAAAAAGCAATTATCATTTTAACTTTTGGACAAGTTATATACATACGTACAGTTGTTTTAATTTAATTTGTAAAAAATTATTTCTAACCATTCGAAAGATAAAAATTATTTATATTTATAAAAATTATTAGTCGATTATTATTTGCTATTATAAATTATTATTATATATATTTAATATTGGTCTCAATTTTCTAAAATAAAATTTATATATATTAAAAATTATATATAGATGTGAGTGTGTGAGTGTGTCAGAGAGAGGGAGAGAGAGAGAGAGAGAGAGAGAGAGAGAGTGAGTGAGTGAGTGAGTGAGTGAGTGTGAGTGAGCGTGTGTGAGTGTGAGAAAGAAGATGCTAGGTTTGTGTTTTGGTTAAAAACGTGGTTTGTAACCACCTTTTCACATTTTGTTTATATCAGCCACACTTTCTTTGATCAACAGTAAAAGCGTGGTTTGAAACCACATTTTTTGAAAAAAAATAAATTTTACTTAAAAGCGTGGTTTGTAACCATACTTTCTTAATTAAAAGCGTGGTTTGTAACCGCGCTTTTACTATTTTACAAATTTTCCGCGGGAGGGGCCTGAAAACAGTGAAAGTGCGATTTGTAATAGCGTTTTAGCCTAGTTTGGGAATTCGGTCCAAACTATGCCTAGTTTGATAAATAACTTGATATTTTGGCTTATTTTGGGAAAAGCCCCTTGAACCGCCACTTGCATCAATGTTAAAAGTTGGTTTTTTTAATTTTTTTCGATTTTTTAGTAATATTTATTGTATTTGGTTTTAATTTTTTGAATTTAATTTTTTTATAAATTGAGTTTTTTATTTTTTGTATTTTTTATTTTCAATAAATATTTTTAAAATTTTAAATAATTTTTTTACTTTTTTATATGCATCTTACTTAGATGTATCTAAAAGGTAAAATTCTTCTAAAAAATTAATAAATATACAAGAATATAAAAAATATATATTAAAGTTTTGTATTTTTTTTATATTTTTGGTATTTAGTAAGTTTTTTAAAGATTTTTTCACAAATATTATACTTCTTAAGTGTATTTATCTTAGGTGTATTTAAAAATTAAAAAAATTGCTTAAAATATTAAAAAAATTCTGTAAAAACAAAAAGTTTCAATTTTTTGAAAGTGAATTAAGAAAACTCAAATCAAACAAGCTAATTACTTTTCCATTTTTTTTTAAATACATTTTTGGGTAAATTACATCCACACCCTCCTCCCTGAGGTACTAAAAACTACGGATGTGTTTGGAGGAGCTTTTGAAATATGATTCCACCACTTCCCTGAACCGTCTATTTGGATAAAGTGTTCAAAAATTAATTCCATCATATTTTTCAAAGCACACTTCTGTTTCACGTTTAGCAGAACTATTTGCAAGCCAAAGCTCTTACATTTTCGTATATACACTCAGATTCATCTTTTCCATTCTGAAAAAGTTCATGTGCCAAAAAAGAGCAAAGTTGAAGATGCTTCACGGGTGAACTGCAGCTCTTCAATTATTTCCTCCTCTATTTGAACGAATCTCTGACCTTCAAATCCAAACAATGCTTGCGAGCCGATTCCTTCCCATCCATAAATTGGCATCAACGACCTCCCACAAATCAAGTGACTGTCATTTTTGTGTGTTGTGGTTGATTCACCCTTCAAGCAATGGAACGACGACAACAATAAGGTATAGTGTTCATAAATTTATGTCAACAAATATATATGGGTTCTACAACTGATTATGTGCTTACTGTCGAAATGTGTCTGTCGTAGGTCAAAGTTATGAAGTCTTTTCTCGAATTAGAGAGCGTCCAAAGCAACACAAATCAATCCATTGTACCCACTCTGTCACCGGTGATAATTATTCAACTCCTGCTCCTGTGGTATGTATGTCCTTCAGACGGTCTGTTGTGGAATAGCTAAGAAGTGTAATGGGTTATCTCTAATTTGGGCAAAAATTGGCTGAGCCGGTCGTCCACCAGGACATCTGGTTGGTCCTCCACCCGGACTTTTAGTCGGTCGACCGCCAATTGGGTGGTTCAGCTTTTGGTTCAACTGTTTCTTGTTCTGCTTTTGGTTTCTTCTTCTGCTCTTATTCTACTTTCTTATAAGAATGTTTAAATTTCGATTTCCCAACACTCACTCTTTCAGTTATGTTGTGATTAATCTTCATTTATCATATTTAAATTTCAATTTCCCAACACTATTTCAGTTTTGTTGTGATTAATCTTCATTTATCATATTTAAATTTTGATTTCCCAACATCTTTATTTATCATATTTTGTAACGCCCCGAAACATTTCAACATGAACTACCCACACTAATGAACATTCACTAATCAATGACAATAATCCCTCCAACATCACATATATAATCAAAGGATTAAATACAAAAGGTTCGCTTGCAATTCACATTCAAATCATAACGAATACATAAATCTATAACATGTGAAGCATCTAATCTCAAAAACAATTAAAATGCCCTTAAGGGCTTACATCTTCCAAGGCGACAGCCCGATTATACAAAATGGTCTCTCGGACCCATACACATTAGCCCTTGGCTTTACAAAAAGATCACAACAAAATAGGAGCAATGTACTCTTTACAATTATCCGTGCCCTCAACTTGGCGGGATCACCACGTCTTTGCCTGCACCAAAATCCCATAGGGGTGAGCATAAAGCCCAGTAGAGAATTCTGACAAAGTATATACAGTTATGCAATTCTCAATAAAAATGCAAATGTCAATGCCATGCCATGCTCTTTTAAGGAAATATCATATCATGATCTTTGAAGATTTCAATTTTTCAAATAAAATCTTACAATCTCAACACATATCAAACTTCCAATTTTAATCAACAGAAGAGCGGTAAATACGACACTGGTAATTCCTAAGCTGGTGTCTGCAAGTAGACTCTGCGAGTACTACCAAACTGTCATTTTTACCGGGATTAACCGGAGGACTCGACACCTATCCGCGTGACTTTCTGGTCTTTCACCAAGAACACTCAGGCCAACTTAACAAAATTCATCTACACCCCCTAACCGGACTTACCACCGTATTTATCCCTTTTCATATTTTCATAATTCGTAGCACAACTTTATTTTCTTTTATGAAATAAATATCTTCAATCAAAATTTACAATGTGAAAATAATAATTAAATGCATATGCAATGCAGTGATTTCTCATAACTCATAACATTTCCCATTTCCAAGTCATCACAACAATGTCAACAATCA